AATGACTCTTCAGGTGGGTGGGGGAGCATGACTTCATCCTTGACCTGTCTAGGAAGGTCATTGTCGAAAGGAAGAGATGGCTCGTCAATAAGAGGAACGGTGACTTCCTCTCCAAGGTCAGGAACCTTAGTTGATGGAATTATGGTCAGAGGAGTAGGATCCTCGACCTGGAGCTGGGGCTCTACCTCCTTCTCGCCTCCTTTGACCTCCTTTTGGTCTTCGCCCTCTTCCTTGGACTCGTCCAAGTAAACATAGGTCTCCCCCTGAGCGTCGACCCTCATCCTTTCAACTTCTTTCTGATAAGCTTAAGGAAGGAAAGAGAAGTTGATTGAATGATGGACTTCCCACAATTTCTAGATGAGGAAGACAAATGTTTCTTAGGCCCGATTAGTAATGGCCTCATTTAGCTCGTCAATCCAAAGCCTGAGTTGTCTAGCCTCAGTTTCGGCCTCTTGGCGACCCGTCACCTCCTAGCCAAGGTCGAGCGAAGTCTATTTGGACTTGGCCTTCTAGCTCGCGGCAACCTTCTAAGCCAAGGATAGCTTAGAGTTTAGTTTGTTGTTGGCACCTCATTGTTGTGCTAAAGTCTCCGCGACCTCTGCTACCTTAGCTTCCGCCTTAGCCCGAGTACCGTTGCTTGCTTTCAGCTTGTCAAGGAATTCTCTTTCCTTAACTGGAAGGTCGCGACTTCCCCCTTGAGCCACTCGAGCTTAGCACGCCTGACCTCTTTCTCCTTCTCTACAAGCTCGACCCTAGCTTGCCATTTTCTGTGGTTTGCCTCTAAAGTATCATTGTATTCCTCGTATAGAAGTCTGCTCACCATGAAAACCTGAAAAAGAGAAGATTAGAGTCAACAAGAAGCAAGAATAGCATGTAAAAGAAAAAGGGCTGCAAACTACTGGTACCTTCCCCGCGTAGTTGCAAGTTAAAGCCAACTTCTGGGAGGAAGACGAGTCCCTGATGGTCATGACTGTTCATGGGGTGATGCAATCCCTGGTCACTATGGCCCCAACACTGATATGGTCGGGGAGTTGGTCAATCAGCCTGTCGACCACAGCTTGGGCTGCTTCATCTGTTTTCTTATTCTTTAACTGGAATGAGCCAAGTTTACTCCCCCAGAAGCACCTTCCTCGCCAGCAAGAGTGGATTTCTTCTTGGCCAAGCTTTTGGCCATTTCTTTTTTAAGGCTACTGGATTGCAAGGCAACCTCTTTGCCCAAGCCATCATGCCGCTCGGGTGCTTTATTTTTTCTCGAGCCTCTACTTGGCTCAAACGTCTTTTTTGCTAGCTCATTTCGAGGCTCCGTAACGTTTTTCTCACCAACTGCCTTAGTGGCAATCACAAGCTTCTTCGGGCTTGGGCCTCCCCCAAGCTCGCCATTGGAGCGCTTTGAGCCAGTGATGTTTGTGGGCTACTTCGTCTGCAAAGCAACCAGAGCCTTCATGGCAGCCGTTTTCTTCTTTTTTTGGTTTTTCAGCTCACATTTCTATAAGGAAAAAGGCGAACGAATTAGTAATTTATTTGCATAGGAAAGCAAATGCGAGCAAGTAATAACTTAACATTTATCCAAAAGTTCTAGAAAACTGGCCTTGTCCCAACAAAAGCCATATGCTTTCAGGTGAGGAAGCATGAGAAGCTCGTTAACATTGCGCTGATTGTCCAGAAGATTGCTAAAACGCTACAGCCTTTGTAAGCTCATAGTTGGAAGATAATTTTGCTTGATGTTAACTGAAAAAACAAAAGAGGACGATCAATTAGAACGTGCAGCTCGAGAGCAATCCTCGCATGCACATGAGAAGACCGAGCCTTACTCACTTCCACAGTGAAGATACGGGTCTCCCGGGCTTTGTAGAAAAAGAACTGCGAATCCTAGTGTGGAACTTTCTTCGGGACATCGACCAACCCGTTGAAATGTACTCTTCTTGCTTTAGAAAGGTAGTATATTTGGTCTTGCCCCTTTTTGTGCCTATACAAGTGAACGAGCTCTTCGATAGATTGCTCACCCAAGTCAACGATCATGTACGCGATGTACATTGTGATAATGATCATGTAAGAATTGGCCGTCAGTTAAAGAGGAATAATGTCGAATCGCCTCAAAATGTTATCAATGAAATAGTACGGGGGAATGGAGACCCCGCACCTAAGGAGAGTCTTAGAGGTTGCTACCCATCCATGTGGGGGGTTCTTCCGAGAATATCCCCTCAAAATCATCAAGTTAAGCTGTGGCGCATAGACCTCTCTTATGCGTTAAAGATCTCTGAGGGTGATCGAGGATTATGGTTCTCTTTGTAGCCTATGGGTTGGAGACGACAGGGAGTGAGCCAACAAAATTGAAGCATGATCGGACAAGCCCACAGCGTCGAGGTTCGAGATTCGGGTTTGTCTTCAAAGGCCTCAAGAGACACATCCTTTAGGGCTACCGAGCCTATCGACAAATCGAGCATTCGGTCTATGGTACGACTCATGGAGGAAGACATTGTTGTAGCTCGCTTTTGAGTACCTGAAAAAAGAAGCAAACATGTGTCAGAGCTCGAACAAATCGGGACCATTCCACGCTCGCTTCTATTTCAGGCACCCGAGATAGCTTGAACAATACAACGAAGGTACGCGACCTACTTAGGATATCAACGATCACCGTGTTAAACCTCTCTAAAACTTGAGACCACTAGAGACGCAACCAAAAACCCTACTAAAACCTTAAAACATCCAATGTGGCCACTACAGTAGCCACCATTTGATGCAAATATCAGAAAAACAGAAGAAAATAGGGGAAAGAGCCTTACTAGAGTAAGGAAAGTGCTGGGAACTCGTGAGAAAGACCATTACGATGATGTAAGAACAACAACAAAGGAGAACCAGAGTCAGAATGACTTTTGGAGTGACTATTCTGAGGTTTTTTGCCACCTTTTATAGTAGTTTGCATGGGAGACAAAGGGGCAAGGTTTAATCATGGCCGTCGACTTACAGTTGATCCTGACCCTTCATTCATCGAGCAATCTCAGCCCGTAGATGTGGCCGCATGTCAACCATCCTCAAGGAGCAACGAACCGTCAAATTGCTATAATGATAACCGTTGCCGCACGTCACCTCGACTTTGCTCGTGAACAACTATCATGGCCCACGCACAATGAAACGTAACTAACAAAGGTTTCCACATTTAATGCGGCACGACCACACGAAAATTACCTGTATGCCTTGACTATTCATATTCTAAGTTTTGATAGGTACCATGAGGAATAAAGATCCAAGTGTGAGGTACGTCGGCCAAGCACAAGGTCGATCTTGGTGGCTCGGTTGAACACGCGGCCATGCCTATCTGCGGTGGTAGCATTTCTCATTACAGCAATGTAACTAGCCTGCGGAGCAAAAGAACTTTCTGCATGTCATATTTTAACATGTTCAAAGGAACGAGACAAAAACATAGATGTTTAGACTTTATTTTACCTTTCTCTCGTATTGGACTTCCTTGAAACATAACCATGTTGTTCTTACTAAATTTACCCATTCCATCCGGTTGTATGCACAAGATGGGAATATTGCCATATGGGTTTACCTTCTCTCTACTGTGCTCAATGTGTGTGCTCGTAATGGTATTATTTGGGCAATGGACTTAAGACAGTTAATTTACACCCCCTGTAACTTTTAAAATAACTTTTGTCACCCATAACCATAAGAAATACCAAGTACACCCCCTACCCTTAGAATTTTCCGTTAAATATTAGACTTCAATCACCAATCAATATGTTTGATTTCTAATCGTTATTAATTTTTAATTAAACGTATTTTATTATTATAAGAGTAATATTATACTTATAAAGACTCTATTCAAAGTTATCTACACAAAGTGATATGACACTACTTATGTATTATTATATCATTCACTATTATTTAATGTACATTTATAAATTGGTTTTTCATATTAGTTCTTTCAATTATAATCTAAGAGGTTAATTATATTATTTAATGGTTAAAATTCATTACTTTAATTATTTTACTTTTTTCTTAACAATTTTTTTTTCTAATAAATTAATTTAAACATACCAGGGTAACTAGGAATGTTTAACGAACAGAGTCGCTCATGAATCAGCTTGACTCAGCTGTATTCAAGCCAACTTGACTCGATTCGTGAGAGGAAACAAGCGGAGTTTGAGCCTGCCTCAGCTCGGCTTGCTACGCTTGCAAGCCGAATTAGGCTTGAACTTGTAGGGGTGTTTTAGGGGTTTTAAAGTATGGGGGATTAAACTAAAATTTTCAAAGCAAAATGTTTTTGCAAAAATGACAAAGATCCCCCTAAGATTAAAAGCCCTAAAAACGCAACTCCAACACGGTTTTTCGTAAAACCTAAATCAGTAAAGAATTTCAGCTGCCTCCAATGTCTTTCCTTGTTGCCATTAGAGTTGGTTGAGAGAGCAAGGGAAACAAGGAGAAAGAAAGAAAGAAACGAAGAAAAAATAAGAGAAACAGGAGCCATTAAAGAGAGAGAAAAGAAAAGAAAGCAAAGAGTAATAAGTAATAAAAAAAAAAAATCTGCTATGAATTAAAAAAAAAAATTGGATTTGTTTACTAGCTCACGAGTCGGCTTGAACTTTGGCTCGTTAAGCTGGCTCACGAGCCAGGCTCGAAATCCTCTCCTCCTTTCACGAGCTGAGCCGAGCCAAGAAATAAGTGGCTTAGCTCAACTCAAACTCGAATTCTACTCCTCTTTCACGAGCCGAGCGCGTTTATCAAGATACCCTAAGTTTTAAAAAGTATTCATGCACCTCTTTAAACCTAAACCCTAAACACGCAAAAAATAAGAGAACAACTCCAACCCCCCGTACAAAAAAAAAAAAAAGGTTAGGCGTAAGATTTTCCCGCCCGCAAGATTTAAAAAAACAATTTCCTATTTTCCCATCATTAAAATTCAGTTTACTTTTATTTTTTATTATAGAAGAAAAAAATTGCCTAACCCTCTTTTTATCTTTCCTCGCCCACCTCACTGCCCCAAAAGCGTCCATAACTCCATGTCCCCTTCAGCCTCCCCACCTCTCCTACCCCCCACCACAATCGGTTCCTAACCTCACCCAATCTAAACCTAATCTCTCACCCCCAGCCCTTACAACCCAGTTCCCCACCTGATCACAGCATCGCGGCGGATTTGTTGCTTTAATCCACCGCGACCTAGGGTGTCCTCCACTATCTGAGCTAGATCGTGGTGGATCGAGTGAGATCACAAAGCAATCGCATTCTTCTGTCACGATCTGGCCGATTCTGGTTTGTAGTTAATTTTTTTCTTCAGTCCCTCCTCAAATGGCGACCAAGCAGCAGTTGATTTTTTTTTTCTTTTTTGGTTGTTAGGTAAATAAGAAATTGGTGACGATCGATCACATTTGGGTTTTTTTTTTTTTTTTTCTTAAAATTCAATATTCCTTGTCATCGATCTCACCAGTTTTTTATTCTCCTAACACCCAAATGTCATGGAAGGCCTCTTATGACGACTGTAAAGATGTTGTTGAAGCAAATAATACTTTTTTTTCTTTCACTGTCAGTATACTTTGTGTTTTACTTGAGTATTTCTTTTTAATTAATTTTGTATCGACATAGTTTGTGTTTTACAACTATCAACTGATTGTGTAGTATGTTTGTTGCTAAGTGTGTCTGCAATCTATGGAACTTTATGAGATGGAATCCTTTGCGAATAGGAGAAGGAAGTTCTGCTATAAGGACAGTAAAATACTGCCTCATTCTTCGCAAATTCAAATTGATATTTTTGCTGTTTAGTTACTTTTAGCTTAAAGATTTTGTTGAAGCAAACAAATACTGCTTCTATGAGTATACTTATAGCATTTTTTGTGTTGCAACAGATATTCATGTCAATTCTGTATTATATTTCACATCCATTCTATACTATTTAATACTCATCTGATTGTTGTAATTCTTTAGCTTTAAGTTGGGAGCATTTTATTTTGATTTTGGAGGAGCATTTTATTTTGATTTTGGAGGAGCATGCTGTAAGATTTTAGTTGCTTCAATTTTTGCAAATTCAAATTGATATTTTTGCTGTTTAGTTACTTTTAGCTTAAAGATTTTGTTGAAGCAAATACTGATTCTATGAGTATACTTATAGCATTTTTTGCGTTGCAACAGATATTCATGTCAATTCTGTATTATATTTCACATCCATTCAATACTATTTAATACTCATCTGATTGTTGTAATTCTTTAGCTTTAAGTTGGGAGCATTTTATTTTGATTTTGGAGGAGCATGCTGTAAGATTTTAGTTGCTTCAATTTTCAGTTGATATCATCTTTGTCAGCCTGCTTTGTGTAATTAAGATTTTGTTGAAAGTTAGTTGAGTTGCAAATTTGATAGAACTTCTTTCGCAAGAATTTACCTTTATAACTTTTTCTGCTTGCCCGTTTGAATCCTTAAAACCATTTTCCTATTTGCTTCATCACTGCTTGTTTTGTTTTATCTAGCAATATTTATATTTAGTTTCTTTGTGGTTGTTATAGCTCTGATTTATCTAGTATATTTGTATTACTTTTACAGGTTCCTTTTACTCTCGTTCAAAGGTGGTCTGATTATTCGTCTGATTATCTTGTTGTGGACATGCATGGCTCTAAAGATCTTTATACATTTATTCAGGCAATTAACACAATTTTTGGTTATAGGTGCCCTATAAGATCAGATGTTGTGAAGTTTAAAGTTTCTTGTACATTTCTTGAGGAAATTAAGACAAATTGTGGTTATGGGTGGCCTGTAAAGTCAGATATTGTCAAGCCTAAATTTGATTAATAGCATTTTCTCTTTCTTCTTATTTGTTCATTTTTATTACTAACTGTATGATATTCTACTTTGTTTGCTTGTTGAAGGTTGGTTTGATTGGTTCTGAGGAAATTCTTCCACGGGAAAAAATATCAATGGCATTGGCAGCGGTTTCAAAAATGTAATCCTTGAGATCCAGTCAGACAATGATCTTCCCTATTTTTTGTAAGGGTTTCATTAAAGAAGAATTTTTGTTAAGTTTTGTTGTTGGAAATTGGCGGGACATATCCATATTGCTTGTTTGAATGACTAGTATTTCTGTTTCCTGCAGGACTAAGATGACTAAGGATCAGATGGTAGCAGATCTTGCCTAACGGTCAAAAGTAAGCTTCTGGGTATGTATAGTTTTGTGGTTTGCTGGCTGCTGGTATCCTTGGGTATATTTTCAGGTGCACAGATAAATTTCAATGAGTTCGATCTACTGTAGATGGGTTATATTGATTATTGTTAATGTAGTTTTGAGTCTATTAATCAAAATTTGTCTCCAGAGGTGGATTGCAACAACCAATCCAAGCTCTCAGATGATGCCAATGCTGGACACAAGCAACTCTATTTGATCTGCTTCATGAAGACGAGGACTCGTGCATTTGGATGTGGGCATTACGTTTCTTGCCACCAATGTGCCATAGTAGCAATTGAAAATGAACATGGGTGTCTCACTTGTCACATGCCAAGCCATAGTTTGCTGTAGTTAAGTTTCCCTTAAGGTTGGAGTTTGGTAAGATTCAATGCGCATGTATTAGTCATCGGGAAATTTTTGTCAACATGCTTCATTTGATAGCTCTTGAAAGCTCCAGGAAGTGGTGACTACTAATTTGGAGCAGCTGATTGCTGTCTTGGACAAAGTTACAAACAATTGTTACAGAATAAATAACAAGCCCATGTACTTGTGGAGGCGTCAACAATTGTGTTCTTAGTTTTGCAATCTTTTCCTTGATCTGGCCCAGATGATATACTCTGCATTATCATTCCATAACAATTACAAAATCGAAAAACAAAACTTAACAATTACACAAAGGAAATCGCTTTGATTATCCGAAGTAAAATCGCAGTAATGTTACCCAACCAACATCACATCTGTAACATAAAACTTATCTCTAATAAACAATACATGAAATAACACTTCTATTAGTTCTATCTGGTAAATCTAACATTGCATGTTACTAATTTTGGTGACATTATGCAAGTGATTGACTTACCTGTGGCTTTATTTATTTAGATGCGAATCATCTGGCTTTGATTTCTTTAATCTATTTAATGACAACTATTTTGTTATTTCTTTAATTTAGCTAATACTCATAGTTAAATAAATAAAAATCAATAAATAAGCAAATTATTAGAAGCTAAGCAAGTGTTCATAAAGATAACATAAGCAAATTGGAGGATGTTAAAGGTACATGGCGAGAGACTGAAGTATGTTCATAAAGAGAACCATGTTAAAGGTACATGGTTAGATAAGAAAATGGGAATTATTGTAGCATTTAGGTAAGGTATAGAATAATAAAGTTTTCTAGACCCTAAAGAAATCCCAACCAATCCTCTTTCCATCTTTCTTCCCCATTCCGCCGCCCCCAGCATCCTCCACCCCGATTTTCGTTCTATACCCTAACATTCTCCATCCACGCCCCAAAATCCTCCACTATAATGACCAGTACGTGCGTTTCATTCTCTTCAATCTTATCGTTGCTTGCTTTTTATGAAGTCCCACCGCGACCTAGTGCTTGCTATCTAAGAAGTGCTCCATGGATCTCATCGGAAATGTCACGGCCTCCACAAAATCAACCACCACCACCTCCACTACCGCATAAAACGCCACATTTAAAACCTCCACAACAACAACAGCAATCACTTCTAAAACCCATATGCCTTGTCATCCATCCTCACCAATTTCTTATTTCCTAACACCCAAATGTCAACGGTCGTCACCAATTTCTTATTCTCCTATGGCCAGCGTTGTCTTTGTCCCAAGGTTTAAGATTTTTTCCAAGTGTTTTTGCTCTCAATTCTCTCCCACTGCCGGAACTTCGCGGCTTCCTCCGGGCGCGTCCGGGGTCGGAAATCATCGATCCACCCACCGTTGGAAAGATCGTGAGATGCTCTGTCGTCTCGTTGCATCACCGCCTGTAGTTGCTGCTCCGTTCGCCGGGATTTCGCCGTGAAATTTCACGGAAACTGCAGAACTGGGTTTGCTTTTCCCGGGGATTTCCCGATCGGGAATGGTGATGGATGGCGACGACTGACTCCTCTGGGTTTGTACCTCCACCACTTCCTAGCAGCCGTAAGCTTCCAAAAATTTGGGGAAATCTTTATGGATTGGAGATTTGGAACCATGGATGGATGACAAATATTTGTTATCTGCTTTCTCAAATGTGACGATTCAAGGAGCCAAGGTTTTTTATCACAAAAACTCTTCCTTTGGTTTTCTTGAATTTGAATCTAACGATATTGTAGCTTCTTCATTGCAATCTTTTAATAGCTTAAAAATGTCGAAATCTAAGAAGTTTTTCAAGCTCAATTGGGTGTCTTTTGAGCCTCGGGGAAAAAAAATCAGTTTCTAAGCCAAGTTTTGAAAAGAAAAGTGTGGGTAAGAGCACATCAGTAGTGTCCTCCTTTTAGGCTAATAAAGTTAGAGTGACGGAGGTTGAGTCCTATTTCACCCTTGAAGTTGTGGACCTTGATACTAAGGATGACATTTCTATATTCCAGATGATGTTGTTGATGACAGCGATGTTGAGTGGCTTTGTTGTATTGTGGGTTATTTCTCGGAGTATTCTATGCTATTTCATGCTGCCCGCCCGATTATTTTCCGTGCATGGAAAGCTGCGGGTTTGGAGGATGTTATGTCCACTGGTATTGGTTTCTTCATTTTCAGATTTAGGGACGAGGATGCGGTGCATTCAATCCTAGAGAGAGAGCCGTGGATGTTTGGGGGCAAGTCGATTGTTTTGCAACAATGGCATGCTCAATTTTCCTTTGATAAAAGCTGCATTTCCAAGGTTCCGGTATGGGCTCGTTTGTATGGCCTACCTTATCCGCTATGGTCTTACAAAGGATTTTACATGGTTTCTTCTATGTTGGGTCAATCGTTGTCGCGTGATAAAGCAACTTTTGAATGAACCCGTTTACATTATGCTTGGTATGTGTTGAGATAGATTCAACCAAGCCTCTTAAGAGCCAATTTAAATTTCAATGCTGATTATCTACTGAACCCATTCAACTTACAGTGAAATATGAGTGGACTCCCTAGAGCAACCACCACCACCTTCGCTACCGCATAAAATGCCACAGCTAAAACCTCCAAAACAACAACAATCACATCTAAAACCCAATATGCCTTGTCATCCATCGTCACCAATTTCTTATTTCCTAACACCCAAATGTCATCGGTCGTCACCAATTTCTTATTCTCCTATGGCTAGCGTTGTCTTTCTCCCAAGGTAAGACAAATAACGATGTTTTAAGATCTTTGGCTTCAAGATCTTTACGTTTCTTGTTTTTCTAAATTTTTTTTATTTGATTGTTTGTTGTTTGGAATGGAATGGGTCCATTTTTTCTTTGATTGGAAGTGTGAATGAGTTTTTATGGCGTTTTATGGTGGTGGGATTGCTTTGTTTGGGATACCGTTTGAGTTGCTGGAGCTTGGAATCAAAATTTTCATTTGTTTTCTAGTTTATTCACATTGTTTTTAAATAATTATATTATTTTAAAAGATTTAATTTATAAAAAAAAAAGGTAAAAGAAACTAAATTTTTTATGAAACGCAATGCTATTTTTGAAATAAAAGTTTAATAACAAACTTAAAGAGGTGGAGGACTTTATAAAAAAATACATTATTTGTGTAATTTCCTGTTTAACTGTTAGTGAGAGTGAATAATAAAAGTTAAGAGCGAGGAATTGATTGGAGAAAGAGAAACAGGGAAATGGTAAGAAAATTTGTAGAGGCTTCGTTATCCTGGAACTTGAAGTGAATAGACTAAACAATAATGTTACGAACATTGGGATTACACACTGAATTGTTTCACTGAACTATGTGTCTCATGACTCAGACCAGTCACGTATAAATTTGAAAAATATTGTGAGTGAACGGCTGTTTGTCAATTATGGATAGCCGTTCACTTACGAAGGACGGGAGTCCACATAATATGAACGCCCGTTCATCAGTAAATGGAGAAAAAACACATTAACAGAATGAAAGACGGCCGTTCATATGTTATGGACGGCTGTCCCTACATAATGGGTGGGCGTCCACATACAATGGATGCTCGTCCATAATTGAAATAGTATACCGCAAGGAAGAGATGGTCGTCCATAACTGATGAACGGCTATCCCTTCCTTGCGGTATACTATTTCAATTATGGACGGACATCCACATACAATGGATGTCCGTCCATTATGTAGGGACGACCGTCCATAACATATAAACGACTGTCCTTTATTTTTGGATGGGCATCCACATACAATGGACGATCGTCAATATTGTAAAATAAAATTTTTTTAAGTTAAAACACAAATTTGGGGGAATTTTAAAAAATTAAAACACAGCCGCTTCTTCTTTGTCTTCATTCCCCATCTGTGCTCTTCTTCTTCGTCTTAATTCCTCATCTGCGCTCTTCTTCGAAGTTCTCATCTGCTGCTCTCTTCTTCTTCTTCGAAGATCCTCATCTGCCATGATTCTTCTTCAAGTTCCTCATCTGCCATTATTATTGTAAGGTAATTAGTCACTTTGGTTTTTCAATTTTTTTTTTTTTTGGATGAATGAAAAGATTTTGTTGGTTGGTTGTAAGTAGAGGTGGAACAAATGGACTGGGTTAGGCGAGTCAATCCTAACCTGGTCTGCAATGCAGAGGGTTCAACCCGGACAGCCAATAAGGTGGGCTGCGTTGAACCCAACCCGGTAGCAACTCCTAGGCATGCCGAGTTGCAAAATGGCAACCCGGCAACCCGTGGGTTGCTGTTTGTCCTTTCTAAAGAAAGGACCGCCAACCCATCGGGTTGGCTGTTACACCAATGGCCAATCCGTCGAGTTGACCCGTGGGTTGGCCGAAAAAAAATTAAAAAAAATTGAAAATTTTATTTGCTTTTTTAAATTACCCTTTTACCCTTGAAATACAGTCGTTTTATAGCCGTTGGAGGGGTCTTTTTCGTCGGGTGTAACAGCGGGTTGGCCGAAAAAAATTAAAAAAATTGAAAATTTTATTTGTTTTTTCAAATTACCTCTTTACCCTTGAAATATAGCCGTTGGAAGGGTCTTTTTCGTCATTTTTTTCTCATTTTTTTCCTATAAATTGGCCCTAAACTCTCACATTTTTCTCACAACTCAAATTCTCTCATTCTCTCGTATTCTCTAATCTCTAATATCTCAATTATTGATTTATTCTCTTAATCTCTTTGTTATCAATTTGCTCGTATTTTAATTTTTATTAGTTTTTGCAATTTTCAATTCATATTTCTAATTTTCCAAATTCCAATTTCCATATTCTAATTCTCTTTCTTTAATTTTTATTTGTTCTACATCATTTTTTTTTTCAACTATAATGGATAGATATTTTTCTCCCATCAATTTCAATGATGAAGGAAACTACTATCCTAGTCCTAGTCCCGCTGATTTTACTAACATAAATGCAAGAGGAGATTCAAATAGTCCCGCTTTCCAAGTCTCAGAATCCGATACACTTCAAAATATGCCCCCGATTCCAACAGCTCCCAGTGGTTCTGGAAGTCGTCCTCGTAATTGTTGTCCTCATCCAACTTCATCTAAAGCTGAGGCGGGTTCATCAACTACCATCGAAACCGAAGACAGACGCACATCAAATGTTTGGGCCCATTTCGACAAGTTTTACGAGACAGAAAATGACGTTCAAGTCAAGAAAGCAAGATGCAAATATTGTGG